AGAGATTGAAGATGGGGACACTGCAAGATAGAGAAGAGATTGAAGATAGGGACACTGCAGGATAAAGAAGAGATTGAAGACAGGGACACTGGAAAACAGGAACTGACCCCAGACAACTCTGAGACCGAGAGCTAAAATGGCAATGGGAAAATCTTAGCTCCCTGCAGTGTTGTTAATTCACTGTGTGACTTTTGCTTTAATACATTCTTGCCTATTAAATATCATGAAGAGTAACTAAATCACCATAAACCATTATTGACGTACTTATGTGAAATATTTCACCTTTACATTCGTATTAACTTCTAAGGTTAAACAAAAATTGCAACTGGGGACAATTTATCCTGTTAGATACCAAACATTCCTTTTCCTTTTTGGAACTTCCTATGTGAGTTCCATTCCTCTTGAGTATGAAGAAGACTTTAAATTCAATCCACAAACAGCTAATATTTTTCAATCGAAACTCCTTTTTAAATTTCTTTTGGTAGTGCTGGAGGTTGAATCCAGGGTCTCATGTGCTGTCAGTGAGTGTTCTACCACCAAGCTGTATCTCCAGCCCACAGACATTATTATTATCATTGTTATTATTACTATTAGTTCATATTCTGGAACAAGTTGCTTCATTTATGAACTCGATGGCCTCAGCTTCTATTGATATTTTTATAGATTTTCCCAGTCTTTTTCCTGTGGAATAATTTCCACAATAGCATTGTCTTACAACTTCGCAAGTGTTGTGATTTACTTAATTCAAATGAAGACATCCAGTTTTCAATTCCACTTCTGTGGAATAGGAGGAAGGACAGAGAGGCAATGGGTAAAGGTGAGGAGAGGATGGAAGTCTGAGTAGGGCCGAGTTGAGTTGCCAGGTACGTCTCGAGTTCTTCAGGAAACCACAGATACGACCCGGTTGGATGGCATTCCGAAGGCTGCCAGCAGGAACAAAGAACCAGGCAATCTTGTTTCGAGCTAGTCTGATTGAATTCAGAATGATGTCACTCGGAACGGTGGGGAAAGATAAGAGACACTGTGTTTGGGGTTTCAGATATGACCCTTGGTCTGGGCTCAGGGCTTCTCATAGGCAGGGAGACAAGCATGCTGCCTCTCATTTCTCCACCTTGAGTCCTTTCACCCTTTTAGCTCCCTGGAACTAACAGTTCATCCTCAGATGTCTTTATTAAGAGTGCACAAAAGCGACCTCAAGCAGTCAGCCTGAGGAGGCCGGGCCTTGAGGGCCTTCTTTCTCTGCCTCAGTTGAAACCCTCAGCTTCAGCATCTTGCCAGAGCTGTGGGTGGAGCTCAGGACGTGATTACCCTGTGGCTTCTCCTCTCCCATAAGCCCCGCCCCTTCACACTTGGACAGAGGGCAGATTAGCTTTCTTCCTCCTCCTAGTTCTCTCCTCTGGCTGATGTGCAAGATCTTGCAGAAGCCAGGGACTTGCTTCTGGGCTTGGCAAAGAGCATAGGAAGAAGCCGGGACTTCCCGGCTGGGAGGAGGGGGGAAAGCTGAAGATCCCCGCCTTTGGCTCAGCTAAGCAAAGTGGGCAGCTCAGTGCTTGAAAGAGGATTGTGCTCGCACTAATCAGTAAGTGGGCGGCTGTGGGAGTGCCCCGGGGTCATGGGACAGGCTTGAGGATGAGGCTTGATTGTAGGGGAGAGCTGCGACTGCTGTCTCTGCGCCTGTCGCCTGGAGTCTAGAGGCTTAAGCCCAAGAATCAGAACTCCCAATGCCTCCTCCCAGTCCAGGAAAATGGCAACTTACTACTGAGAGTAATTTGCACGGACTCTCCTTTCCTGACCGCTCTTCCCAGGAAAATTTGTTACTAAATCAGACAGAGCTGGGATTAAGTGGGAAAAGTGAAATGTAGCATTAACAGAAACTGAAGTCTCAAATTAGGTTCTGTGTGTGCTGGCGTTCTTATATCTACTAACAGAGATTGTCAGCAAAGTCTGAGGCGGGGGCTTAAGTGGGGAAGTTAAGACTGTCTGTGACCAAGAGGCTGAGAAGTCCCTATGTAAGGGATTAAATGCAATATTTATGTAATAAATAATAGGTGAGGTTTTAAAGAAATCACGAAAGGGAGCAGCATCCAGGACACATAAAAGTGCATGATAATAATTAGGAAAAGAAAATTTCATATCCATAGCTTTTTGTAGCCAAAAATTTCAGGATGTTTACAAAGTCATAACAGTGATGCAGGAATACTTCAATTATTGTTATACATTATTAATACTGTTGCCGGGCAAGATCTGTGGTTCTCTGGTCAGCAAGTTCTGGCAATGAAGCCACTGCCGCTGGTGCAAAGAATTCTGGGATGTCTGACAGTGAAATGGATGGAAGGACTCACATTCCATCTCTACTTAATGCCCTTTTGTCCAGAAACCGGGTCATGCAGATGAGCTACTTGGTACGTATACAGATCAGTATGGGGGAAAGCATTTCTGAGGGCTGCCGGGCTGAGAGTGTCTCAGCTAAACTGAGAGGACCCAGAAGTCAGGAGACAGGAAGTCAGCCTGGCCAAATCAAACTTCTTCACGTTGTTTTCCTTCCAACCTGGAAGGGAACCTCAGATGAAGACAAGAATAATATCTGGGAGCCATTTGTTCTGTCCTGAGTGTCAAAGTTTATTCATGTGTGGATGAAGTTGGGGGTTTTTATTTATGCATCAAACTTGAAGTCTCTGGTCTCTGTATTACAACAAATAGCATAAAATAAGAGATATATTTATGGGGAGGGAGAAATATTTTGAAATATGACATTTTCAAATATGAATTCAAAGAGAAGAGAAAGACTGTGTTCTGCTGCATAAAGAAGTCTCGTGTCATGGCCACTGATAGGCAATACCCATGCTAATATGACACCAGAGACTAAAGTTTTAGAAATCTAATTGCTTGATTCTAGTTTGTGTGGATAGCATTCAAAGCAAGGTGGGTTTTGCCTGGTTGTCTTTGTTTTGGCTTCTACTTTGCACAACAGAAAAGTCCATGATGAGCTTTGTCTTTATCTGCCATTGGTCTGAAGGCGTTCCATTATCCTTCTGATAGTCCCACTGGAGAGAAAAACATAAATATGTTACCATTTTTCTGCAACGTAACTGTGAGATGATTGTTATGGTTGGACTCCTTTTCCAACCTTAGAATTTGTATTTATGAATTTTGCTGTGGGGAAGAGGAGTAGAAAGTGGACCATCATAATAATAAAGTAATAAAATGGCAGCAAATCATACTTATAGATATGCCTTACTCTTCCAACTTCATAAACCACTGAATTTTGAAGCACATTATTTGTTAAAATTACTTTTTAGTTCCAATATTAGTATTCATGTGATTTATTGAAATATTAAAAACATGAGAGTTTGTTGGCTGCATTATATAATACTTCTCTTATTCTTAAAATATATAAGGCATTAAAATATAACATGTGCTAGTTGACATTTTAAGAATAGTATAATTCTAAATGAAGTATCTGTTCTTGAGAAAAATGTACTTAGAGTCTTCAAAGAACTGCTGGTTTATCTCAGGGTATTAGAGAATCTTTGCTGAAACTATAGAATAAGACAGGATATTGAGGAGGGACTGAGGGTATACTTTGGATGCAAGAGGATAAGCAAAGTCAATGTATAGGTATAAGATGGTGGTTTGCTGTACACGAGGGACTGATGCCAAGAATGATGCTTTGTGACTAGTGAAAGAGTTAAATAGCTTTGTCTTTAAGAATTATTAAGTAGGAATTAAGATTTTTAATGAAAAGAAACTAAATTATATTTAAAATTGTTCTTTCACAAGAAAAGTAAAGAACAAGGCTATGGAAAGCTAAGCAGTGATGAAGACCTCGAAATAATTGTTGATCAGAAGCAGGTAAGTGAACACTCGGTATGTTTCCTGTTGCCATTAGACTTTGACCTGGTAGCCCTTTGGGTTCAGAGTCCTTCCCAGTAGCTGTTTTAACTTGTCTAACTAGAGCTGTTATTAATATAGATTTGGGTAGCATCGAAGCGTCCCTCATCTCTGCTCCACTCATTTCTGTGTGATGCCAGTGTGTGCGCTGTGAACATAGATAATAAAGCATAAAGCAAGGCCGAAGGGAGAGAACTTCGCAGACTCAGTACAGTGAGGCAAAGTAACATCATTTGATTGAGAAAAACAGATTTAAGTAAGATCTAGGATGCATATTTTCTTGAAACCGAGAAACACTACCATTGGTGTGTCTTGTAAAACAAAGTATGATTGAGGGGGTTAATAGAAGATGTGAAATTTGAGATATTTAAACTTAGATCTTCCCCCAGTTTGGTTTCTGTTTGTCTGCAGTGTCTAGGTGATTTGAAATGAAGAGAGACTGCCTTGTCGTCAGTAGTGCTGCCCAGAATTTGAGAAGCCTCTTGCTTGGATGGCTATATTGGCCCAGAAGGTGCAATGAAAATGGCTTAACAGAGCATAAACAATGACACAGCAGGGGGTGGACAGTGTCCAGCCAGAGCACTGGCTTGGCATTAGCCCTTAACATCTTTGTTAATTATCAAGGAGACAAGGCACTTAACGTACATGTGGCTTTGTCTCTGAGGGCACTGTCAACAGTGGTAATTAAAAAGTCTGAGCTAATGAGGATATTAGAGAGGAGGCATTGACTTGCGGAATGGCTGTTGAATTTGGACAACTTTCTAGTCACGTACTTGGTTCCACATCGTGGTGATGACACTAAGGGAGCCATTGTGTGTGTGTGTGTGTGTGTGTGTGTGTGTGTGTGTGTGTGTGTGTGACAATGGGGAGTGGCTACCAAAAGGTGGCAATGGAAAGTCATTAACTTACGTCCTGCTTGACTGGGCAAAGTATTTCCGTGAAAGTTCATGGTGTATGGACACAGCGGGACTTGTTTCGCCGCCTCTGTGCTTCCCGCCCTGTTGTGACTGCTGCCCCTAAATTCAGCAATGTAGGGCTGTGAGGGTCTGGCCGGCACTCTATATTCACTGCCAGATTGTCAATTTAACTAATAAGGTACATGGAGCCCCAGTTTGCGCCTCTGGTATTTTAATTATGCTTAATTACTTGGGACATGCACTCCAGACCTCCTGTGGACTGTGATTCTGGTTAAGGATTGGACCTACCTGGCAGATAAACTAGGAAAGGATGCATGAGTGTGCCATAAGAAACACACACACTCACACTCACACTCACACATACACACACACCTCCATCAAAATGAAGTAAGTTTTTATTTCTTGTTTAATCATATAGAAATCAATCCTTACTTTTATACTTCATTTTTGTCTTCTTCCTCCTTGAAGCATTTAGCTTCTTCCTTTTAAGCTTCATGTTTACACATATTGTTGTCATTCAGAAAACTCCAGAATTATTTGTCTTTGTATTTTTGATGAGGAGTTCACAGAAGGAAGACTTCATTTTCCCATGCTGACTTTCAACAAATTTATATTGTTGGGACCACATACTTCCAGTGCAGTCACCAAGTTGGTACCACTTGGAGTGACCCAGTACTGCCGAGTCATTCCTGCTGAAACTTGTTTCAAAACATGACAGAATTGAACACGTCAGCTTAGGCACTGACTGCTGGCTGTGAAGAGTCTGCCCTCATTCTGGAAGATTTGGGTTTTGAGTTTTGAGTGAATACTAGGTAAAAGAAATGGCAATGTTCACACCCCCAACTAAAATAGCAAGGAAACACCGTAATTATTCTTTATAAAACTCCAGGAAAGTTATTTCTAAGATTAAGAGACAAACAAGCATGTTTGTGAGTACATGCATGTAATCAAATACATTTTTGCTCCAGAAACACAATTATTCATTCCATATACATAATGGAATTACACAGATATGTGTAATAATATTTAAATTTTGTGTCCCTATATACTATTTTGCCAATAATCCTTATGGCAATCTGTATCTCCAAAAAGCATGTGTTTGTCAAGCTTCATATAACTCCAAGTAGCTTTTCTAATGACTGCTGTTGAAAGAAAATCTAAGGAAAATAAACAACGTAATTGAAGTTCTGTGATGGGCAGAAGTCGATGATCTCATGAAATCTGTCACCTAACTGCTGTCCCTCCGCAAGTGCTGTGCAAGCTACATGCCAGTTCCTCAGTCAGGCGATTGGCAAGGCTAGTGCTTCCACAGAGAGACCAGGCTTGCTTATGTAAGCACATTAACAGCAGAAGCAGTGTGCAGGATGTGGGCTTTGCCACCATAGGCTGCTGCTCTCCAAAGGGCAGAAGATGTCATTATGATGTGGAAAAAGAGAGTAAATTTTGGAAATGTGTAAGACTTTTGCTTTTGATGGACAAGAGTGTACTTCTCCCTTTGTGAAAATTTCTTAGTAAATTTGATTCATAGTTCATATTTTAAAACTCACAGATGATTCTTAAACTAGTACCCTAAGCTAATAGGAAATATATGTTCGTATATATGTATATACACGTTCACATACTTAATTTAAATATGAACATATTGCATGGGAATCGGAGTCCATATTTGCACTGGATAGTCCCAGAGGTTTTATGCTTTAAACAGAAAAGTAATGAAAATAAATGTATTGCAATAAAATCTTAATGGCCTTAAACTTCAAACATTTGCTATAAACATAGCAGAACTTAATGAATGCTATATAAAATAACTTCTAAAGGAGAAATCATATATGTGTATGTGCATATATACTAGTTTTATCAACAAAATATTCTGACTTTATTGGAGAAGACAAGGGTCTTGATTGTAAATTAGTCTCAAGTAAACACAAATTATTTCCTGGAGCTGCTGGTATTTCTGGAGTGAAATGGATGAAATGGATGGGAAACTACCTTGAATTTACAGTCTTAACCACCTTGGCTAAATAATGAATTTGCTCTATTTTAAATTACTGTTTCACTTGGATTCAGCTTAACTCAAGGTTTCCTGTATGTTGGGCTGCAGAGCTGGTGTCTAAGATATTTTCAGGCTCCAAGCAGACTTGAAGGAAGTAACAAAGACATACACAATAAGTCCAGAATCTTGGGAGCTTATGAAGAATACAGAGCTACAGGTTTGAGCATTGTAAAAATGCACGTACAGAATGCTTGGGTCTAGTTGATTCTGGGGACCCAAGGGGAGTTGGCCCTGTGTGTTTCTTGGTGCACTAAGTGAGGAGATACCAAGGACCAGCCAGTTGCGAGGGAGCACACACATTAGGTCAGGGCAGCAGTCCTCAGTAGCCTTGGCTGTGCTTGGGGAGCTTCCTGGGCTCACCCCCTCACTGCTAACTTTGTGATGTGAGGTCAGGCCTGAGTGTTACATTCCTAACTCCTCCACCACTGCTCTGGTTTCAGCCCACACGCTAAGGCACAGAATCCAAGAAAATAGCTATCGCAGTTCTGAAAGAGGAAAAAGATATGAGGCGGTTAATAAATCTGACGTTCTTCAAGTGGTTATTACCTGGAAACCTAAAAGCTAGAATCTATAGACACCCGATATAGTGGTACCTGAAAAGCAAGTCACCAGAGGCACTCTCAACAGTGCTGCCTCAAAGGCCCAGGCCTGCAGTTGGGTTGAGTTAGCCCTGTGGTGGCCCTTTTGGTCCTGAGCCCCAGAAATCACATTTCTTGTTTGCAAACTAGTGCCCCATTCGTCCTATTTAAGGGTTTATTGGAGGCAAAATCTGATAAAGACTCCAAAAGGCATAGATTGTATGCATTGTGTGGATGCCTTCTCAGTCACATACTCATGCCCACCCCTACACCCACACAATTTAGCAAGACAGAATCTTGAGGCCTACGATGATGAATAGACTTTCCCAGAGTCCCTAGTTTGACACCAAGAGCACTGGAAGCCATGGCCCCTGATGTGGTCTAAGCTCTGTGCCCTCTGCACCATTACTGATTGCCCTATAAATTGACATAAACTGATTCTGTCTTCTTGGTCTACTTACATAAAGTCACTAACTGGAAACTGTCACAGTTGACCATGGTCTGTTACTGCTCACTCACTGGAATGATATACTTCCTACAAACACTTGGTAACTCTCTACATCCCTCTTGGCCTCTAAGCATTCCAGAAAAAAAAAGGATTCTTCCAAAAATATAAATAAATAAAAGACGGGGTACAGAATGGGAATTGCAGGGTGACTGTTGAAACCACGTGCCTTCTCCCCCGCCCACTGCAATACTCAAGGGAGGTTTCCAAGCACATATTTTACCTAACCTGAGACCTTTCTGCATCTCTTTAAAATGTGTGAGAGGATCCTGAGCAGGAAGCAATGCACATCAGAACTATTTTTCTAAAGAAGAGGAGGAAACAAAGTAGAATTGTGTCTTGTATCTCCCGCAGCCACAAGCCTTTCAGTAGGGTTGCAGTCAGCCCTGTCCTAGTGGCTCCGTGGAAATGAGTTGTGGAAGGGAGATCAAGGCCAGTGTCAAATAGAAATGAGAGAGCACAACCCAGCTTCCTCCTGGCACTAAGACATGGCCTGTCCTGCCACCTGCTGACTCAAGCCTTGAACTCATAAATAGTACAGCAATGATGAAGGGTGTGCCACTCAGAGCCATCGGGCCAGTTCTTTCTTGGCTGTCTCGGTATGGCCGCTTAGTTTATATATAATTCATACCCCATTTGCTTCTGAGGATTCCAAAGTACCAGAGCCTGTCTCTTGGTATCACATGGAATAGTTTCTCTGGTGCCTTCTCAGAATTTCACACATGGCCATCAAGAACATAGGACCCCTCTTCCTTCACCTGCTCAGCCTGGAAAGCCTGAAGCAAGGGATTCTGTGACACTTAGAGAATTCAGCACCCCATGCAGCTGTGATACCCTGATTAAGCTCGCAATAGGCATAAACTCATTAGCCATTTCCTCACAAAAGACTGATCAATGAGAAGTGGCTA